CGAGCGAATTTTAAAACGAAGTAAAATTATTTTTTACACACGGATATATATCCGATATAATGGATGGATGTGCAGAGGGATATTACAAGCGTATTAATAATAACTGGCCAGGCCAGGGTGGGGAATATAATAAACAGGTTGAAAGAAGAAGGGAAGGGGGGAAGAAGATCGAGTGACTCTGGTTTGGCCGGACAAAAGGTTATCGATACGAGAGGAAATCGGATCCAACCGCCTTCGTTCCCTGTCAAAATACACGTAACGCAATATCGACGAGCCGTGACTCGAAAGCGTGTAAGCATATAATACATATACCCGGTGATCGTAACTTTCACATCACTTGTTTCAGAGAATCTCGCAATAACGTGATCTCTAATTTCGAATCGAACAATCCGATATCGTCTCGGTTCGATTTTAGAAATTGTAATCGAATTTAAAAAAAAAAAAAAAAAACGACCTTCGTGAAAATCGCGCGAGAGGAAAAAGAAAAGGAAGGAGGAAGAAAAAAAGGAAGAAAAAAAAAAAACTAGTAGTTGATCGCGACTCGAAAATCCAGTCGGGGGGAGAGTCGAGGAGGGTCTGACCGGTCCCCCCGTTGGAGGACCGGTCCTCCGCCAAGGAGCACGACGAGTGGAAAAAAAGGCGACGCACGTGTCTCGCCCGATTGAATGGGGCGCGCGTTTCCTTCAACGGCGACCTGTGACACAAATTCACAATCGTTGCAGAGAGAGAAGAACAAAAGGACAAAAGGGGGCCGAGACCTCGCGTAAAGGAGAGGAGAAAGGGAGTCGGGCGGCGAAAGAGTAAATTTAGATTTAGAAAGAATTTCAATTTTGGGGTGTTTTGGATTAAGGAAGATTGGTAAATTTTTCAGGATTACCAGGATCGTGAATTAATAATTGAATTGTTTTTAAGACATGCGTTTTTAATAATTTTTGTTTTTTTCTTTATACAGTTATATTTTGAATTGATTAATTTCATTGATATTGTATCTTTTGGATATCTGGTATTTCCATAATATTAGATTTCGATTATTACCCTCATCGCTTGGTATTATTATTATTATTGTTAAGAAATCTATTTTTAATCCAGGAGATCGGGAACAGGTTGAACACCAGCTTCTTACTTATATCATTCCTCACCATCCGTTGATTTTGCAATCTGATTTTTCTATTCTCAGGAATTTCATCAATAATGTCTTCGTTAAATTTAATAGTAACTATAATAATAATAATAATAATAAATTTTATAAAAAAATCAGTATTTATCGCATCTATTTCGTTAATTACATCATTATCGTTTCACTACACAATGGAGCAATCCAGCTCCAATAATCCAAAAGTTTATATTTCAATTCTCAACCCTTTACACGCTTCGAATACTACGATCAAATATAATCGAGAATTATCGTTGAGGAGAATAAAAATTAAGAATTTCGCAATTTTCGACAAAAAGAAAAATTCCTCGATCCAAAAGAAAGATGGAAAAAAGGGGTGGATCGTGCACGACTGGCTAATTGGCGACAGAAGGGGACGGCGAGCAGCAACACACTCACTCTCTCTCTCTCTCTCTCCCTTTTCACCCGCTACGCGGATGCACGAGACGGGGCTGCAGCTGCACGGGGCCCCGTGCAGCGCGAAAAACGCATCTTTTGTGCGCCCGTGGCTCGTGCAAAAAGAGCGCACGGAGGCGGCGCACAAAGCTGGCCCCAAAGCAACAGATCGATTGAAATTGAAACGAGAACGCGTAAGAACGCGCCACACGTCCGTCCAAATCGTTTGCCCGTTTTCCGTGTTAACGATGGAACCGCGTGACGCGAGTCATTTTCTCCTTAACGATCCCCCGTGTGAGCGTGTAAAACCCTTTCGTGCTCCATCCTCGTCGATCGCTCCCCTCTCCCTATAATTTGTCGAGTGACTTCCAACGAACGTTTCCAATTGGAAAAGTATATTAAACGTAGTAGAGACATTATTTTTGTAAACACACTCGAGCGAAGTATTGTATTACATAAAGTCGAGTATTAATTGCCGACCTAATAATGGAGGAGAGATTATTTTCGCGCTCCATCTCGTGTAACTTTCTAAATCAGTGTAACGAGTACTTCCAACTAGAAAGATATAATATAATTTAAACACGTGGAATTTTTAATTGTAACCCCCCCTTGTTTGTTGATGCCTTTCTCGTATAACTGAGTCAGTAACGAATATTTCCAACTGGAAAAGTATATTAAACGCGTGGAGAAATATACTCGAACGAAGAATTTTTAATTGTAGCCCCCCTTTCGTGCTCCATCGTTGATGCCTTTCTCGTATAACTGAGTCAGTAAAATATTTCCAACTAGAAAAGTATATTAAAACGCGTAGAGAAATATATTCGAACAGTGTATTCGATACGCGATATTTATATGGAGTAAAATATTTATATAGAGAATTTTTAATTGTGGAAGAGCCCTTTCGTGCTTCATCTCGTATAACTTTTTAAATCAGTAACGAATATTTCCAACCGGAAAAGTACATTAAACACGTAGAGAAATATACTCGAACAAAGTATTGGATATAGAATAAAATATTTATGCGAGAATTTTTAATCGTCGAGCAAATAATCGTGGAGGAGAGCTTATTTTAGCTGTTAATTTTCTAACTTTCAATGTAACGAATATTTCCAACTGGAAAAGTACATTAAACGCGTAGAGAAATATACTCGAACGAAGTATTCGATACTTCGCAATATTTATAAAATAAATTTATAGAATTTTTTAATCAAAAGAACGTTTTATTCCAACGTAGCCCCCTTTCGCGCTCGATCGTTTTAACGTAATTTGAAGGCGAAAAATAATGCACACGCACTTCGGAAATCAGAAAGCGAGAAAAGTAAACTTTATTATTCAACATTTGATTTCTAGTTATTGGGGCAATTGTATTATTGTATTGTAGTAGGAGGGAGCGAATGGATCGATCGATCGATCGGCGTTTCCGTTTGGAAGAGCGCAGACTGCGACATAATGGGGCCGAGAAAGGGGTGCGATTGTCGGCATATTCGGTGGCATTAATGGGGCGGGCGCACGATGGTGGAACAATCGGAGATTCTGACGAAATCGAGACGGCTGCTGTTTCGTCAATTGATACGTCTTGACTGTAACGTTCAAATGAGCTATTTTTTTTTCTTCCTCCTTTCTTTTTTCGGCCCAGTTATAAAGGGTTAAGCATTGTGTCGACACGGACAGATCCATTTGGGAACTTTTCCATTTGGAAAACGATATATATATATTGGCTTGGTTGGGCGGGGTTGGACGGATTGGAAACGGTGCTAATAAAAATTACGATGGCGAATTTGCTTTGCAACGCAAGTGACTTTTTTGTAATATCTGTTGAATATAAAATATTTTCTTAATAACAAGAAAATGGAGGCAAAAACATCGATTTAAAGAAGGTGAAAAAAGAAGTTTAAAAATATAACGATATTTGGTGGTTAAAGAATGTCGTGTGCTCGAGCAAAATTAAAATTAAAATTTACTCGCATTTTTTCGAAAATTTCGCGGAATAACAACGTCAATGAATAACGTCATAAACGAAACACAATGAGCGTAAGCGTAACGCCTGACTTGTAATATATTTCCTTGATAAAAACATAGTTTGAAAAAAACGTCGACAAATTTAAACGTCCTTAAGCAAAATCAAAATTAAAATTTCTCGTTACTCACATTTTCCAAAGATGGAACGTTCGACTTATAATAATCTTGTAATTAAGCATAAAACGATAATTTTAAGATAAGGAAAAAGAATCTAAAGCGATATTGGTTGAAAGAAAAAATTGTCCTTGAACAAAAAATTAAAAATTAAAAATTACTCACATTTTCCAAAGGTTTCGTGGAACGTTCGTGGACGAATATGCGTTATAAACGAAAAAAAAAAAAAAAGTAAAAACGATAAATAACAACGGCGAATCGGTTATTTAATTTCGCAACAATGATCGCGAGCGGACAGCGCGAAGAAGAAGTGGAGGCCTCGCGATAGAATCGCGTACTATTCAACAGTTCACAATGCGCGATTGTACGGTTTGCAAGGTCGACCTCTTACATTCCGTGGTGTGACGTAATGGACGCGTTAGAGGCTACCGATGTCGATTGGATTTTCGGTTGAGAGAGATGTTGAGAGAGATCTCGTTAAATCATTCACAAACGATCCGATTCAAGTGGACCACCCAATGAGCCGGAATGGCATTCAAATCCTTGGACGGATTAAAGACTCGCCATTAAATCCGGTTACACAGGCAGGGCATAATGCAACGGGCATTATATCTACGATTATATAGCTCTCGTCGATTACGATCGTAGAAGCGGTTCGATCCTTTGTACTTCGATATCCCGTCACATTTCGTTCGATGGCTCGCATTCTTAATTGCAATCGCGGTTGGAATACTTTTCGCGTAAAAAGAAAAAGAATTTTACCACCGTTAACCGTTACGAGGAAAAACGCCTCCTCCTATCGATCGATGGTTGTTCAGCCTCGGCCGACAAGGCAGATCCCTCTCCTCCTCGGTACGGACGCACTCCCACAACTACCGTAGAATCGTGCACACTGTGATAAGATCGCGATGCAAAACTCGCTGGCTGACCGTGACAAGAAGTGGTCGCGAATTTACGAGCCTGACGTTCTTTCTCTCTCTCTCCCTCCCCCCCTCCCCCCACTATCTTTAAGCTGCACGCACAACAAAAAGTTCAAGATTCGTCGTCGATCGACTACTTCACGAATCCACCACGAATTCTTCACGATCTAAAAAATCCAATCCCTAAAATTATCTATAATTGCTCGTTATTAATTATTTAACTCTTTCTCCCCCTCTTTTCCCCTCGAACGCCACTAAATTTCAGAAAAGGATGCGTCCCATTGCAAAATCGGCGATATTATTATCGGACGAGAAGGCCATTTCGAGGATGGTGAGAGGAATTTTTCCGAGCGTAATCGCGGCTCCATTCTTATCGGTTGGCGTCGAGCGAAACGGATCACCTCTCTCTCTCTCTCTCTCTCTCTGTTCGAGCGCGGATTCAATAGAAACGGCTTTAAAGGTGCGTCGTTATCGGGCCGGGCAGATCGTGGCTCCAGCACCCGTGGGGACTGCTTATCTCGGCCGTTGCTTGATTGTATAATAAAGTCGGCCGACCGACCGAAGATGATGATAAGCCACCGATGCCGCGACCGCTCGTTAATCCGCGCCACCGTTCACCTCGAAATGTATCGAATCGATCGAGGCAATAAACGAGACAAATATGGCGGTTCTCTATAGAACAGAAGATTCCTTTTTCTTTTTTTCCCTCGTAGAACGGGGATTAACGGTGGATAAGGATAAATTATGCAAATTATGCAGATGGAGAATGGGAAACTTTTTTTTTTTTTCTAGATATTCCCATTCGAAGTATCCAAGTTTCGATTCCGGTTGGTAAGGAAATTATAGGTTGAAATTAAACGTGAGAGGGAAATGGAGATTCTCTCTCACAGAAGCGATTTCTCGGGGGAAGGAGATCGTAAAAATTCCGTCGGAGCCTCTCCTCGTCTGTTTTTCCAACGCGTCGGAAATTATTCGAAACGCGCTAAACTGGGCTCCGGTGGAATCCCAAAATCCCGCGGGGAAGCTTTTCCTTCCACGTTCCACGGGCCGTTTGGCCAACGTCCAAGAATCTCTCTCTTTTCTACTCAGTTGGACAGTTAGGCAGTTCTTCAAGGGACAATGCACCGGGGATGGAACGATTTTTAGACAGATCATCCCGACAGAGGTGTGTGGGGAAAATGTTAAATTTTAACTAACTCCATGGAGAAATAGCGCGGCAAGAGACGATTAATGGAATCATGGAAATTCGTTAAGAAAGTTGGTCGCGTAGAAAAGTTTGTTGCGCTGAAATTACATTCATCGTGAATTCGAAGCAACGTCGGTTTCGAAGTGTTTTATTGGGGCGAAGTTGGGATTAAACGCGAATTATTTAGAATTAAATTTGGAGACGAAAGTTTGACGTTAACGTCGCTCGAGATATTTGACGAAGTTAAAGAGTTAAACGAGATTTGGAATTAATCGCGTTTGGAGATGATCCCAAGTTTCAAGAGATATTTTATTCGTCGATCAAGTTGGTGAGATTGAATCAAATTTCGAATTGAAGGTTCGAGGATGAATCTATTCGAGGGAGGAGAAAGTAATCGTACGTGTGATATTTGACTTGGGATCGAAAATTCGCGCCAATTTACGCGACTTGACCGATATATACCCGCACGGTCGGTAAAAAAGATCGGCGATGACAACCTACCTCGACTCGACTGGTTTCCTATTCAATTCAGACCGCTAACCGCTACGATTCACACGCCATTAACCCGACAATGACTGTTAACACATTGGAAAAAGAATAACACGCGCGGGGTTGGTTTAATTTATCGCTTTATTATATACTGGCCGGCTTGTTCGCAACGCCACGGCCATTAGTAACGACAGACGAAATGCGCACTCGATCCTCTTTTTATGGGATTGCGAGTCCACCGTGACTTATTCTATTAAACCGCGAATACGTTGACAAAAGTATCGCCGCTCGAGCCAAGAATTTTTTTAACTATCAATTTGAATCAATTTTTCTTTTCACAATTTCGTGAAATATTTAATTTACACGGATCGAGTATCATAAAGTATTGAATGCTCATCAAAAAAAAAAAAAAAAAAAATAACTCCATCGAACCATTCATTTTTAAATATCCATTGTCTAAAACCACCTTCTCAAAAATCCAAATATACAATCTATCTAACCGAGCGATCTCGCGTCTAATCTAAAATTTTTCAATTAAAAAAATCCCCAGTCGAGGAGGAGCATACACGCATCGATCGTTGGACGGCGATACAGCTCGATGGAACGACTAACAAGAGAGTGTGGGCTCTCCCTAGCCGGAGAGGGTGCGAATTTCATCACACCCCCCTCCTTCTTTGTATTCATCCTCTCGACTTTTCATCGTCGAGTGGACCGGTTATTTTCACAACCGACACGCGGGATCGCAATCTCCCTCTCTCTCCGCATTTTTCTGCGCGCGTCAGCAGTCGACGCGAGCGCCACGGCGGCGCGAACGAGAACTAACCACGGGGGTCGCTTTTTAGGCCGTTTTCAGCTGTCCGCCCCATTGTCCCTCCGCCCGAGAATTATTTATAGACCAAGGATGACCAAACACAATTTATGTCGGCTATGTACACGCTCTCTCGTAGCACGATGCTGCTGATGCTGCATTGTTCCACGTGTATTGAGGAGCGTTCGTTTTCTCGCGTGTCGCTTCTCCGTCGAGCATGCCGAGTTGTTTTTTCCTTTCCTTTTCTTTGGAAGGATATCGATACGATGGTGGAAGCTCGGAAGTGAAGATTTTTCGAGGAATTTTTTTAGAGAGAGAGAGAGAGAGAGAGAGAGAGAATATGCCGTGGAAGATTTATTTATATTTATATAGGTATCGTATGAAATGCAAGTTTCTTTTTGTATCGCGTCGTGAAAGTTTAGGAGAGCAGAGATCGAGGAATTCTTTAGGTTTGGAGAAAAGGGAAATCGATGTCGAAGATTATTGACTAATAATCGTGTATTTATTTATTATTGGCCAACGGCGGATATTAAAGATCTTTGAATAAAGTATACGCGTGTATATGGAAATCGAGGAGTATTTGGATAACGATGATTAATTTACGTTTAAAAAAGTTCTTGTTTTGAAACCGAAGATCTTTGACGGAAAATTGTCGTGTCGGATTAGATAAATTATAATTTTTGCAACGCTTTTTATCCTCCGATAAAAACAAAAAGCGAGGCAAATTTCATCCGCATTCATTCTCAGAAACATCGACTCGCCTTGAAACTTTTCCTCGGATTCTCGATCGGATATTCACCTCCGCACAAGGCGTGTCGCGCGTACGTTGACGATCGTAAATTCGGGAGGAATCGTTCCGAATCAGAGATCGACGGCGTTATCCCCCCAATTTCGAATCCACGTGAATGGCGAAGCTGAGTCACGATTTATCAATTTGAAAATAACGCGGTTTTCCGAGCAGACGAATTTTTGCAATTAATATTTCATATTTTTCACACGTTACGTCGAAATCGTCCAAAGCTTCGATCCAAAAGTGTTGCTCCATGCTGCACCAGGTGAAAAAAATGATCAAAAAATTAGGAAAGGCTCGATCGAAATAATAATTCACCATCCAGCTTCTCATCATCCTTCCAACGATTAAATCCTCGCACGGGTCACGTATGGCCGCCGCCTTCAGAAAAGAACGAGGACGTTAAAAATCCGGCGCACGTGGTGGCTTATACCCGTGGAGGACGACGCGTTACGCGAACACGGCGTGAATGGTATACAAATGAGCAAACGCTCTCCATCTTCAAAGCGGCGCGTTCTCACCGCCAGATGTTTCCTCCCTTTCTCCCCTTTCTCCTTTCTTTTACACCGAGAATCGTCCCTCGAGTCATAGACGACAGAGATCGCGAAAGGAAGGAAGGAAGGGAGAGAAGGTTCGGAAATTTTTTAAAATTCATCCTCTTTCGAGTGGATTCGAGCTAGCCCGTTAATTCTTAATAATTCAATAAACTTCTAAAATACACCTTGACTCTCGATTTTTATGCTCTTGGAGGCGTTAAGTTAATCAAACGATTCTTCTCAGAGAGAGAGAATAATTTTAATCGTGATGTCAATTTATCAACTTGATCGCAACTTACATCTTTCTAGTCCAGGCTTCGCAACAGTTCAACGTCCATTGTCCTTAGATCAAATGCACAAAATCCAGTGACAAGCCTCTTTAAGAAAGAATCTTAGGTAGAGATATACGCGGTTCATAAGATTGTGAAATCCAAATTTCACATCGATCGACATATCCCATCAAGTGATTATTACGTATCGTTGTCCCGTCGGTATCTGTTATCTCGCGCATGCTATATCACGCTATATTTTCAGTGAGCATGGCTTTGATAAAATCGATATCCGTTGTTGTGCTGGACGATCGCTGCGCTTTTCACGTTTCGAGTCAAAATTGCCAGCTCTAAATCTCTCAAACCAATTGCGAACGGTCGTAGCGCCACTCTCGTTAACGAATCTCGTTGTCATTTGCACTATTTTACCTTTTTTTTTTTTTTTTAAAGTCAATGAAGCATAACGTGCTTGCACAAATGCTTCGTTTGGCTGAATCCATGCCGAAGAATAAAGCTTTAAAAGAGACTTCGTTGTCACCAACTTTAAAACAGCTCTGAAACAGATATATAGCCACAAAAGGGCTAATAAATAAGCCTGCGTGTTTATATAAAGATGGCCAATTAAATAGAAACTCTTATGGGACACCGTAATAAATAAAAACACGTTTAATTCCTCTTTTCAGCTCGACAACCTCTCGTTCTTTTCTTCCCATTTATCGTTTCGATATCTTACCATCCTCGACGGATCGAATTTCGGATGATTATTGGAACGACGCGTTCTCCTTCGCAACCAATAAATTTCGAATTTCTTCGAATCATCGCATTAGACTTGCTTTGCGTCCGTTAATTGCATCAACCTTGGAAAATAGCTCGAATTCCACGAATGAAAAATAAAAAAATCCAACGATTTTTCTCTCCATTTTTTCGAATGATCGACCATTATTCTCCGTTGCTTAAAGGACCTCGGCTGGAAGGACCTATTGCTTTGCGATCTACTAAAAATAGGATGATCTCTGCAGCTCTATGCGCACTTCTGAATTCCAACAATTGTTTCACCACGTTGTTTGCCCACGTTCGACCATAGTTTCCATTTCAAATACGGATAGTAATTGCATCGGTTAATTGCTACGGATGCTTCCTTTTCCGTTTTCAACCGTTCGTTCGAGTCGAATTCCAATTCTATTACAATTTTGGGAACACAAAAATACCGTTTTGTGAACGAGAAACGTAGAATAAATCTTTTTCGATCGAGTAAAATTTCAAATTCAACTTCTATTTGACACTGACGAGTAAATAAATTGCCATTTCTTAATATTATTTCTCATGTAAAAACATAAATTATATTTTCATTTCGAAATACTCACGATAAAAATCTGTGGATAAATTTTAACGACCCGAGAGATGCCTAAATCGTGCGAGGGGGGAAGCGACCGACTTCCTGTTCAACGACTCGCCTGTTCATCCCTCCGTTCCTTCTGTGCATCGCGGTCACCGTTTCGTTCCTTCGTTTAAGGTCATGCAAAGCGGCGCTTCGGTGGCCGCCGCTTATCTGCGCCGTGAATTTCGTGAAAGCCGTTCGTCCGTCCTCCACGAGTTTCCCTCCGAGAGAAAAAGGAGGAATTCTATTCCTCCGTCTTGTTGATAGCGTATTTTATTTCCAAACAATAATTCCTCTTTCTTTGACGAAACTTACTGGATAAATTCTTGTATGCTATAACGACGTCTTCGAGATGTTATAATAAAAAGCACGAAACGAAAATTGCTAAATTTTAACACGTTCGTCGCCATACACGGGGTCGACGCTTTCTTCTTCGAGAAAAATAAGATTTTAACCATTTATAGATTTGTATTTATATTTAAAAAGGTTATCGATCAAGTAAGAGGAGCGATTATATGAATGCAAAGAGTTGAAGCGGAATTTTAAAAGAAATTTAATGGAGGACAAGCACCGAAACATAAAATATACATTCACAGAATTTAAAATTTAAGAATAATAGAAACAGAAAAGAGGGACAAGTATGATTTGTTAGCGAATCTCGTTTTGCATTTTTATACAATTTTAAATCTAAAATTATACCGTATATGGTAACATAGGAGGGTATAATATAATAGAACTGAGTTGCCAATTCAAGAGACTTATATTCAGACCGAAATACTTAAAATTGACTTTGGAAACGAGGGAAGTAGGGAGGAAAAGAAGTAGAAAACAAGTAATTCAGAATCGGTAAATTTTATATCAAAATATATAAAATAAAAATATTAAAACTACTTCCGTTTATCGCTCTGTTTACCTTCTTACGACTTTCCGACAATAACATTTGGGCTCGATTTCGCTGGCTGAAGGACGTTAAATCTCGAACGAAACGAATATTTCTTCCTTCCTCCGATTAAATTTCTCGGAAAATCGTCAAATTCTCCCTCAAAAGAAGAAGAAAAATGTCGATCGATCGATCGAATAGATCCAACAATTACAAAAGCTGTCAAGCAACCTAATAATTACCACGCGACAACTTTTATAACTTCGTAACTTTAATCGACATCGTTATTCACGTATCGTGAATACCGTTCTTCGACACCGATGTCAAAGGCTATCCAGGCACGGTGTCAATGGGTCATCCTCTGGTAAATTCTCTGAATCTGAGGGGAGAAGAGGAGAGAAGGTCGTTTTTATCGCGAAAAAAACTTTTTTCAGGAGGGCAGATTTTGAACTCGAGGTCGTTCAACGAGCCGACGACGATTGAATCGTGGATTGACGGCGATACGGTAGGTCAGTCACGTTATGCAAAGAGCGTGGGATCGACAGCCGGGTCGCGTTACGGCAACGACCGATCCCGGCTTCGAATGCTCGTTCGTGAAAGGGTTATTTTTCGCCCTTCTCCCTCCTTATCTTTATTGCACCGATAAAGACGCGGGTTCTGGGTAACGTGCCTCTCTTATCGTAAGTGGCGCTGCATTATAAATTTTTATCATCCTTGTTATTGTTGCTTCTTTTCCGTTCCTTCTTCGCGTTCGATCGATGTAAATTTTTGTACGCGAGTCGATCGATTCCTAATCCGTGAACTCATTCAGTTCGATAAAGTGGTCGATTAAAAAGGACAGATCTACCCGTCTTCCACCTCGTCTTCCAAGATGAATATTAATCGCTCGATTGAAATTCAAATCCGATAGACTAAGGCTCCGCCTTGCTCAATTAAAAATCGCTGCCGACAAATCTTGGACAGATACGTCTTTCTAAACGTAATTTATATACGTAATAAGTTTCATATTTAAGGCGGACGGAAAAAGTTGTTCAAACATTCCTTTCTGTCTATTCTCTTCGTTTATAATTCATTCGTTTATTGCTCATTAGTGGTTATTAAGAATTTTAAACACGCTTTTCTCAAATTTATCCCCTTCGATCTTTGCTTGGAATCGATGAAACTAAAAAAAGAATGTTATAAAGTTCGCTGAAATTTTATCTATAATTTTATTATCGATGAACGTTGCTAGCAGTGATCTTCAGTTCGATCTTCAGTTGTTCGCTGTGCTAAATCTGTGTATTTCTTATTTATTCATTATTCACCACTTCGCATAAACCAACCAACAAAGAAACGTGCGATGTTTTTAAAAAATTTTAAAACATTCCGTTTCAACACGCCTCCCTCCCTTTCGAAATTTCTATCCCCATTTCGATTATGTTCCTATTACTATTTCCATCATACGTAAAAATCCTCGCAACCCTCCTGGACGGAAGGGGAGTGAAGGAAGGAAGAAGGAAGCGTATTGGTGGCGCAGCACACGGTCTAATTGAATCGAGAAGCGTTTGGCCTTGCGAAGCCAGAAACGAGCCGTGGAACGCGATATTTTACGCCGACCACTCTCAGAGAGGCGATGCATGCGCTCGGGGAAACTGGTTCCCCCTCGAATAATTATTCCCTTCCAGGTAAACAGGCTTTATCTCGCGATGTAGGTCTCGCGACCAAGAGACTTCTCCGCGTGTTCCCTCCTCCTCCACCTTCTTTCTACCTCGCATCACCCCGTTTTCCCCCTCCCCTTTCGTTTTCTTTCTTATTAACAACCGTTCTCGAGGCTACCTTTAAACAGATCCTATCTTTTTATTGTTTATTCGCACAGGTGCTCCTCCAACGTTCGCTCGTACGTTTATACGTTTTCTTTTTCTTCTTCTTCTTTCTTAGTTTTAACCGAAAGTTTCGATGGAGGTTGGTTGGTAGAAGAAAGAATACGAGTTTTTTTTTCTTTGGGTAGACAGTTGAAGGATGTATTCGTACATTTTCTCCAAGCGTTCTCTTCTGCCTTGTTTTCTCTCTTTTTTTTTTTTTAATATCGATCGATACATGCAACGCGTCACTCGCCATGATTTCTAAAAAATTCGATGGAGAGACTACGGTAAAATTTGTATTGTTGGAAGAATATAATATAAAGAGAATTGAAGAAGTTATAAAGTCGCTTGATAATCGTTATAATTTCTAAAAAATTCAATTGAGGTTGGAAGAGGCTAGAATTTGCATTGTTGGAAAAAAGAAATCGAGGAATTTATAAAATCATTTGACAATCGCTATGATTTATAAAAAATTCAATGGAGGTTGGAAGAAGCAAATGAAGCTAAACTAAAATTGGAAGAATATATAAAACGATTGAAGAATTTATAAAATCGCTTATAATTTCTAAAAAAATTCAAATAAGGTTGGCAGAGGCTAGGATAGAATCGTTGGAAAAATATATAAGAGAATGGAACGATCGTCGTTGAATTTCTAAAAAAATTCAATTGAGATTAGAATATATTTTGCTGGCGTTAATCAAAATGTAAAAACTTGACACGATATTTCAATCACGGACGTGCAAAAAGCATCGACTAATCTAAAACAATCCCACCTCAAATCTCAAACCCCTTGATTTAATTCAATTTATCCATCCGATCCGAAGTTTCCTCCGATCCCGAAACGATCTTCCTCTCCCTTTTCGAAAAACTCGCTCCCTGATCCCGCTATTACACGCCATAATAAACGGCAATAAACTCGATCGTAACTCAACCGAGTGACGGATCTCGTAGCAACTTGTTACAACGGATAATTACGATCGATTAAGAACGACATTGCTAATTGCCGAGCCGCGCTTTTGCTCCTTTTCGCTAATTGAATCGATAGAAAAGAATCATAAAAGAATCATCCGTGGGAGAGAACGGAGAACGGAACCGGTTGAATCCCGCAACAACGAGATAAATCATTGTTCCTACGACACCTTTTACATGGAAGATTCCTCGATCCTCCGTTTAAACGATGATAACACTTCTCATTAAATGTCAACCTCGTGTTGCAACTTTTTATCCGCAATGTTGTAATCTCGTACGATTTTCACGTAAAAAAAAAAAAAGAAGAGAGGGAGAGAGAAAAAGAAAATGGCACGACAACTAATTTAGACAGATATATTTCGAACGACGTTCTTTTAAGATCGCACTTTATTTATCGATCGTAGGAATCGAAGGATGTGTCTTTACACGACATATTAACGGGAGAAAATGAAGGGGATAAAGAGGTGAAGGGAAGCGGATCAATTTTGTAATAATACCTGTTGCAGTTTATCCGTGCAGGTCTATCCGGGAGAAAGAAGGAGAGGGAGGAAGGAGAGCGTGAAATTATCGAAGCTCGGAATTGAAAAGAAAACCTGTTACATTAATCTACCTCTTGGCAAAAAGAGGGATGAAATTATTCTCCCTTGGAGACGTGAAATTACCCGGAAGTAATAACGGAAGCAAAGAGAGAGAGAGAGAGAGAGAGAAAACGAAGAAACGAAGCAATAACTGATGCTGGCTAAGGGCTGGTAAACTAATTATCTATGCTACGTTGTTATTATTACGAATTTTTCATCGATATCGACTTGCGATCGAACGAACGCAAATTTGCAAATTTCCACGTCACTGCAACGTATACGAAAGTCGTATCTTTCTTTCTTCGAGAAAGCTATAAAGAACTAACATTTCTATTGCAAATGCAATTCTCATTCGTCGAAAAATTCCTCTTTAAATACCACAACGATGATTAAAGGCTGCATTTCCATTGCAAACGACGAGAAACACAATTCTAGTTCTTATGGGGGAAAAAAACGTTCTTTCCAAGATTACATTTCCAGATTAAAAAGAGGAGACGGAGACAGAGAGAGAGAGAGGAGAGAGAGATTATAAGGCTTTAAGGCAGTTTTCATCGGAAGTGGCACAAAGCGCGGCATAAGGCTGTCGACGCTCGAGTTGCACGTAGTATTTCCGATTACCAGGCTCGTTTCAAGGACTCTCTCATTTCCCTTCGACCTTTTCTCGCCCTCGAGGCCCTTTGTGAGGGCCCACTTAGGCCCGGTATCCGTGAACCGAGCGAAAAAAGGAACGAGAGCTCTCGAGATGGCGCTCGATTGCACATTTTCAGCGAGCGTTGCGATTCGGCCCATTAACCAGCTCCAATCGAAATTCGTGTGTATACAGCTCGATACAACCATCTTCTCTCGCGACCAATTTTTCTCCACCCTCCTCTGCGATCCGATCGTCCAAACGTTGGGAACAATTGGAACGGTTTTAACCACAATATGCCGCGCGTTCGGCATCCAAACGGAAAATGAATTTCGTAAAACTCGTAATTACAGAGTGTAGAATGATCCAACAGTTTAACGTTCTTTAAATTAAATTAGAACGATCTTAACACGACAATATGCATTTCGGACCTAAATCCAAGAAATTTCATAAAACTCGTAATTACAAAGTGTAAAATGATCTAACACTTTAACGTTCTTTAAATAATTAGAACGGTTTTAATACGACAATACAATGCGCATTTGGGACCTAAGGG